CAGGGAAGGATAAAATTTGCCCTACTATGAGTCTTTACATTTCTAGTCTGAATGTAATGCATGGGTCACCACGCACAGGAGTTTTGGAAGTGCCTAGGAGTTGTCTATTTAGGGGCCAGTGGGAGGGAAAACCTATTAGATCAAAGGTTTCAGATTCAATAAGAAGCTGTTCAAAGACACATACCTTAATCACCAGCATGATATTTTTGGAAACCAAGAGAAAATACCTTCCTATAATTTTATTCGGGAGACTAGATTTCAATTTGGCCAATAATATAATGGGCTGACTACATTTCCTTTGGCATACTAAGGCTACGAAACAGCACTGCAAGATAAAAGGATATTTGCAAGCCAATAACTTGTGATTGTTTGCAGAATCCTTTTTCTTTTAAGAATTGGAATCAAATATTGAATGAATGATATAATTAAACTTAAGGTTTATTAGTTATTTGATCTAATTATGCTCAAGAATACCATGTAAAATGGGACCAAGGAGCACAGATGAAGCACTGAATAGTAGTGAATAGAACTTGATAGCAATAGTTTTAAGACATTAGGGGAACTCCTAAAGAATCATCAGCCAGCTATTACCATTGACATTATCTCATCATGCAGTTCTATTTGAAGGCTGGATCTGAGAAGTGTTCATTATCCCCAGTTGATGCCACCAATCTTGTGGGCATTGCTGCAGAACAAACCAAGAAAATTTAGTATCAAGGAAGGATAGAGGACACCGGATATGTGAGGAGAGGAGAAGATCTGTTTAGATCTGAACAGATGGAATAGCCAAGCCTGGACAAGGAGGATAGGATTTGGTCTCGAGTGTGTATCTACAGAGTAATAGATAGCCTAGTCAGTACGGACAGTGGAACCTAAAGAATTAGTCACCTCTCTGATTATTATGCATTTTAGCTGTTAGCTCCCAACATTGGCAAAACAGTTGCATAATTTTGGCTAATGTAGAGTAGTACTTCTAGGTTTCTTATCTCTCAGCCTTTTTACCATGGCTTATCCATATGTGTATATGTTTCTGTATAACATAATATTCTTCTATCACACAAATAATAAAACAGACAGTTCCCATCTCTCACATCTCTATTACTAGTGGAGGCCAAGGAAGTGTGTACGTGTATGTTCTGCATGAGAGGGAAAAGAAATCAGCTTGGATATAGCTTGTGCGTGCATGTCCTTGTAGGCATGAAGGAGGCTGCTTCCTCTGTACTGGGGTGGAACAGTAAATCACAGCACAGTTATAAAGGTGAATGCTAATGCTGAGTGACACTCACACCCTGGAGCCTGGTAAGCAATAAATAAAAAGCTTTTCTTCTTCCTTAGATACTGTTGATGTATAAGTTAGTCCCAGGTCTGCAATTCTTCTCTGTCTTACCTATACTTCTTGCTCTGCCTTCTATTACTAGCATTTTGTTTATGGGGGTCTTGATGAAGTTTGTTCTGCTCCTGGAAGGCCTCATCCATAATTTACTGCAACCTGAATTGCAAATCTGCTTAAGCAAAGTCATTCACACCCAGAGTTTCTATTAATCCTAGGAAAAAGGATTTTAATTATGTATAATAGGATTATGAAGGGTCCCATTTGGGACTAGCACTTTATATATTCCTTTATAAGCCCAAATAATCAGAAGTGAAAATCAGATTTTATTTCAATCACAGACTTTTTTATTGTAATCAAATTATCTTTTTCTTTTTTTTTTTTTAAATGCCTTTTCCCCACAAAATTTTTGAAATTTTGATCAGGAAAAACAACTCAAGACTGAACAACCTGACAACATAAAATATTTTTCATCTGTTAAAAACAAAACAAAACTAAACTCTGAGTGTTTTGACCAACAAAAACCCCAAACATTTTAACATGAGAAATATTCCCACTTGCTGCAATATTTTCCTTTGCCATGTGCTTGACAATCAATTCCCATACTCTTTTATTGCAGCTTTCCTCTTTCTATGTACAGTCAATGCTTCAACTTATAACCCATTTGCTATCTGTTTGAGCCTTGATAACTTTTTAACTTGATTTCAAATTTGGGTTGTAAAGTTTGGGGTATAGTGAGTCACTTTTTAGAGAAATTTCCATTTGCTGTAGTTCTAGAGTTCTGTTAACAGTTCACAGCAAGTCAAGACTCATCTAAATGGACTTTTTCTTCAGGCATTATGAAATAGGAAAAAGAGACTTGTTTGGGGTCAAATGTGTTTTGAACTTCCACTGTTTCAAAATATTTCAGTGTCTATTTGCTCTAAGTGGTCTGTTCCTTGGGAAGTATGTACAATTTACCTGAGGTCCTCTGTACATTTACCATTTACCTTGAAATAGCATGAATTGCATGGCTAGTACTTGCTCTGCATAAATTATACAGCCATATAGTATGTGTTACAGAAAGCCATGCATTATATATTATACAGCCATATATTATCCACCTCTACTTTCTCTGGGTCTCTTGAATATTTTGGGGTGACATATATTCTTTCTGCTCAGAATAAGTTCTTCTGGGAAAGTCCCAGACAAACCACGTAAATGGACTAAGGAGAAACTGAGGCCATAAGCCTATGTTGTACAATACTGTGATATTATCATATTTAATTATAAGAGTTTGGCATTGGCTTGGGGGCAGGAAGACTATAGAACAGTAAAGACATGTCCTGTATGAGGAATGTGTGTGGCACTAAACAGAGGAAAGGCTCTATTTGTAAGCTATAACCAATTTGAGAGATGTGAAGCATTATAAGAGGCTCACATGACTATAAATCACTATGAGATTTCTTATGAGATGCAGAAAGCTGAGAGTCTCAGAGGACTGACTCATAACAAGCATTTAGGCCCTAAAGACTGACTGATGTATCATTTTGCCTCAATGAATCAATGCCAGGAGGAAGGCCAAATCTTAAAATTATGCCATTATTCACTGGGGAAGTAGTTACAGTGTGATATGTCAACCGTCTTGATTCAACCTGCCAGCCAGCAGCATGCTGTGCATCGAAGTTGTTAATTTATTAAAATGGTTACCTTAATTTTTCCTTTCAAAAGGATTTTATAAACAGTACATTTGAAGGCTGATATTGAGTGTCTTTTGCTTCATTAGTTTCCTTTGCCATATAGTATGACTTAGGGCAAAGGAGGGAATTATAAGGCTATTATAAGGATCATAACTACTGCTGTCATTAAAACATAAAGGGATGAATTCAGGAAATAATTTCCCTCTGGGTCAAATTGGCAAATAAAGCTGATTTTTTTTTCTATATAACTTTTATATCTTCCTTTATAGTAGGGACTTGGTTAGGACTACTGTAGATCCAAGTTTCCAAGAATATAGCCTCTGTTTCCATGCAGTAATTTTGTCTAGTGAAAAAAAAGGGAGAATTTGCTAATTGTCCAGGCTTTCTCATCACCTGACCACTTGGTCAGGGTGCAACTAGGAACCGTCTCAGATATCTAGAAATTGTAGACCAACAATCCTGATATCCCAAAACACAGTGACTCAGACAAGTTTTGGATTCATCAGCTTTTCTGCAAATGCCATCCATGTGCCTTCATTTCTAATATGAAGGTACATTTTTGCCTAGGAGATGCTGGAATGGGTGATGGGACCTTATATGTGTGGTGTTCTCCCTAGGACCACCAAGGCATACTTAGAGTTATGTTTCCTTACCATTGCTAGATATCCAAGTCACCCTTCCCTTTCCTTATTTCATACAGACAGATACAAAAGAGCCCACATTCCTGAACATGCCAGATTTAGATCTGATCAGTTCAAGAAAAGTGGCTTTGTGCTGGAAAAGATTTTGTGTCTGTCAGACATCATTAGAGAAAACGCCAAAAGCTCTCTGTCACACAGCAGGCTGGAGGTGGTAGGAATGTAGCCTACCCAGTATCCACTTTCCCCATGTCATTACCTATGGCCCTGCTCTTGGTGACATATTCAAAGCTTCAATGATTTCTTAAACAATTTTCCAGGTGTGCAATGGGGAAAAAGATAAAGGAGGTGGACCAAAATAAAACGTGTAATATACTATTGCAATAAATGGCCACAGTATGTGTAGCATAGTCAGCTGGCTGGTTAGAAGGGGACAACATTCTCCCTGGGGAAGAGAAGGAGTAGGAAAGAAAAAAAAATATATATATTTCTGTCTCAGTATCCTTCTGTCTCAGTGTAAAGAGATCTCAGTATCTCTTTACACATGTGCAAAATGACAGGTCATTGGGAGAAAATGGTGAATGAGCTCTCAGCTTTCACTTTGCCAATGGACGGGCACCAAAAGCCAAAACTAGACTCTTCCAGCCAACAGCATTGCTGTTTCTCTGCAGCAGCTCCAACCTAGCTCATTCCCAAGCATCCGAGCTCCCCAAATGCCATCTGGGACCTGCCATATGGAGCAGCTGTGATGTTCAGGGGGCCACGAGGCAACGCTGTCTTTCATGCTCTGCCTCTCAGAGATTCCCACTGTTTTAGGTGAGAATTTAGGTTTAGTTTTCCCTCCTCGCAGAAAAAAATGCCACAGAAAATCAATAGACCACAAATAGGAAAAAATCCCTTTAAAAATCTCACACAGTTCCCTCCTCTCCTTTCATGATATTGAGGGCTGTCTCTTGATTTAAACACGCTCAGCAGAAGTAGTATTGATGAATTGTCTTTTTTAACTACACATGGCTTTGGCTTGACTGCTGGATGCTGCCAAAGGCAGAAATCACTGCGAGACATTAAATACTAAAGTTTAATACATTGAAAATGAGTTTTAAATTGATTAAGGATTATAAATAACACAAGCTTCTTCCATTTTTTTTTCTAATTTTATTTTTACTTGTTTCTTATGAAAATTAATCTACTTTGTCACATGCCTTTTTTTTTTTTTTKTTAACTTTTATAGGTTGGCTTGATTGCTGTCAATTTGTTTCTTTAATGTAAGCAATTAAATGGCTGATAGTTTTGCTGGCTTTCAATTATCTTCCTGCCTGACAATTGCTCCAGCTGTAACTAATTTTCCTTCTTTATGCTTGTAATCCAAATCACATCAGCTGTGTGTTGCAGACATAAGGAATATCAGGTATTACCTGAGGTGAAAGGAAGAGAATTGGTGGGGGGGGGGAAGTAGAGGATGGAGATTTGGGTTCTGTGGTTGGCTGTTTTTGCTGGTCTGAACTGAAATGTAATCTCTAATGTGGTCAGATGGTGTGGCCATATGTGTCATGATGTGGCTTCCACTTTGCTGGGTGAGGTGGTGGCATGCTGGCAATTGCATGGAACAGATCAGTGTGCCTTACTGCATGTTCTGGGAAATTTGTCTGGGGTATCTGATGTGTAGGGGATTATGGCATCCATGACAGATCAATCTCAGACCCCACTGAAGTGTTTCTGAAGAACCTGAATCTATTTAAGAGCTTTGATAGAGCAGGAAAGAGTGGAGAGCATAGAGGTGTCTGCAGTCTTGAGCCTGGGCTGAATAAAATGAGCTGTTCCTCTATGCCTCACTACAAGGTAAAGTCAACTTAAATTCCTGTTTATGCATGACCACACCTTACTTAGCTAACCTTCCTCTTGATTGCACAGTTCATCGCCACCTCACTTGAGCTCCACCTTCTTCCAGATACTGTGCTGACTGGATGATCCTGGAGTTCACGGGTGGCAGCAAAGACATTAAACAACATTTTACCTCCTTTAAAGAGATGAGTTTCGTGGATTAAAAGAGCCCTAGAAGGGGGCTTTCTCTATATGATATGTGTGAGCATTGCTGACACTGCTGTTGTTTTCATATTCCTCTAGCAATATGAGCCTAAACTGAATTACCATTTAGACCCTAAAGATATATTTTCATGTTGGTTTTCATTATTTGAAGTTTTTTTGGCCACCTAAATTTTGTGTAAATTTGTTGGTTGTAAAGATATATAAAACAAAAACTACCACTGTCTCCTGCATTTATCTAGAAAACTCAGGGGTTATTTTACAGATTAAAGAAATGGGCACTCATAGGTGGAAGCTTTCAGGGGTGCAAGTCACGTGTTGTACTTAGAGTACTCAAAGGATGTGTTTTAAGCAGGGTTTCATTATGGGCAGACTCTACATTTTCTCCCAATTAAACTATGCCTGTAATATTGCAAATGCTTAATATTGAGCATATTTGCTGAAATGTCGAAGTCGGTAGCACTACCAAGGGTCCTGTAGGCACAAAAACACATGCTCAAGTTGGCAGAACAGCTGAAGACTGAGGATATCATGATGACTTTGCTTTTCTTGGCTGTTCAAGGCACTGATTACCCTTTAAGTGCACACTGGAGGCACCTGCACATCAGATAACTGTACCAAAGGATGGAGAGAGGTATAGATGAATTTGTGCTGAAGAGCAGCATGCTGCTAGGGAATCCTACAGTCAACTGGCCCATGTTAAAATCCCTTTTCTGTGAATCTTGGAGAATAGATAAACTCCTCAAATACTTGTGATGGTTCATGAAAGGATTTTCACTGCTGGACTGCACATCCTTACCTCCCTGTTCGAGTAATATAAAACCTATTAAACCACGGGAGCAAAAAGTAAAAAATTGAAATTGGACCACTGGGGTTACAGGAGACAATTTATAATGGTGTTCCACAGCCAGAAGTCTGCCATTAGCACCATCTCACAATATAGCCTGGGACAGCGGAAAGATTTGCTAGCAATGGGTGGGTTTTTCATTCATGGGTAAGAAAGGTTGTTTCTCTGCAGTTTTCATGTTCATATGTATGTAATTAATGTGAAGCAACACATCAGTTTTAATATGTCAGGCAGTTCTCGAGAAATACAGCAGAGAGTCTTGTCATATCCAATACTGTCAGGCACTTCAGATGGTGACTTTGCAAGAAATTCATGTGGTGAAGAAAAAGAAATAAGGAGAAATACCAGGAAAAAAGCAGAAATCAATTGTTTCTAAGGAGGCCTTTAAAATGCTCCTTCCATATTTTAACACATGCACTAAAAATATCCTGTGATTTTTATATTGCAGACCTAAAGAGTATGAGGTAGTTTGGACTGCCTCATACTTCAGAGGCAACAGCAAAAAAAAAAAAAAAAAAAAAAAATAACCAGTCTCCTCCTGTCTAGGCAATACTTAGGAAACTTGCTGTGCTGATAGAGTCACAGGGAAGCAAATGTGGAAACCTGTGTTGCTTTTCTGCTCACAGTTTACATAATAGGAGAAAAAAATGTCAGTGGCACATTTGCTGAACACTCTCCACAACTGGACCTCTCCCTGGATGCTCAAGGTTTTTGAACTCTGTATGGCAGTATTTGAGTTCAACTTTATGATTGGTAATACTTAGGTCAGACTTGATGTGACCGTAAAACCTTTGTGCAGGGGAGGGATGCCAAACCCAGTGTCAGTTTCCTGCAGAACACTCCACAAAATCAATGATGCATCAAATTCTTGCACTGTTTCTTTGAAGAGCAAAGCCAACAGACATAAAGTTTTGCCTATTTTAAAGACACATTCTAGTAACCTGGCAGATATTTATTTAAACGTCCTCCTACAGAGGTCTTCATAAAAAGCTTTCATTTGATGACAAATCTGTTAACAGTGGCTAACAGAGATGCTTCTTTTTTTCCTGGCCTTTGAAGCAGATGGCTATATAATGTTGCATAATTGTCAAAACAGCCATCCTGGTAGTGTCTGTCAGCTTTTTCTTCCTTTAACTGATGTCAAAATAAAAGCTGTGTCTTGATGTAGGCAAAATCAAATAGCTCCGAGGCACTAACATCAGTGAGTGATGAGGAAGCTGATACTAGTCAGTCAACAAGTAGGAGCCAACAGCACCTGAAGAAGGGCGACATGGGCACTAGGAGGTTGGGAAGGGCTGTCCATACTTCTGCAAACCCAATAGCAGCCTCAGAAATTAATTCACCTCCAAAATGAACAAAGGAAATTCGAAGAGAAACAGCTTTGGGCTTTTGTGCTTTTTCAAACCTTTGGGCAGAGTTTATCATGGTAGGAAGATGGTCAGTACATGACTTGCCAATAGGAAAAGTTCATGCTGAAATATCAGTTCCATGAATGGGAGATAATGGACCTTGATGGAACTAGACCTAGTGATGTTCACCTGTTGCTGTACTCAAAACTGGCGATGATCCAGCAATTAAAGCATCCATGGAGGATGCTGGCTCCCTTCTTGGTTGCTTGCATGGACTTCAGCAAGCTGTTTTGCTCCAGCTGCTCAAAAAGGACTTATAGGCTTAAAACATAACTTCTGATGAGTTAAGAACTCAGCCATGTCCAGCTCTATAGTCATTGGAGAGAGAAATTGACATTGACAATTCTTAACCATCAAGGTTACATATGGGAGCTACTCTTCTAGATCAACTGCATTGGTTATATGCCTAAAATTAGGTGTGAGGTATCTGAGCTTGAAATCAATAGGACTTTGATCCTAAACATATTTGAGATTTTTCTCTGCCTTTTGTTTTAGGATATCCTTTGAGTCCCACTTCAGAAGCAGAGCCTGTCAGGATGCCTCCTTATTTTATCTGACAGGATAAGCAGGGCAGAACAGCCAGGGAATGCAAAGTAAATCACATGTATGGTGATCATTCTTCAACCCCCATTTTAGATCACTTTTTCTTTATAACAAGACACAAAGCCTAACATGAACCAGATGCATTTTAATGGTGCTTAAATTAGTTGAGTTCAGCCAGAAGACATTTAAGTTAAGTAGCTGTGTTGTCATTTGCACATTCCTTTCTTCTTTTCCTCCTATTTTGTGTGAGAACTTACCTCATGCTGTTTAATATAATGCTTGCTAACGATAATCTTCCCCTCATTTATTCCATGTTGCAGTCCCTCTGGTGCTTTCAACTACAGTAGGAAGTTTTAAAGTTTTAGAAAAAAGTGAGTTTAAGAACTCAGTCAGCAATTTTTTCTGGTAATATTTATTGGTTCTCATTGAGCATTTTGAAAAATCTAAACAGTATGGACCAATTTCTCATTTTGATCATAATGATGAATACATATATATTTCAATCCTAGTGGTGGATGTATATGCAATACATTTATTGCTCATTCATATCAATGATATATATATATGTATACACACACACACACACATTACTATTCCAGTAATATAACATAAAGTCATTTCAGATTATTATAAGTGGACCTAGCAATCCAATCTATCATTATGGTCACTTGAGACTTCCAGCTATATGATTTTTGTGTTATTTGACATGAACTTCTGCCACTTATTTCTCTTAGAAGTAAACCGCAAGGAATATTTTGGCCAAGGCAAGCCTAAAATACATTCTGACTATGTTAAAACAAAAACTTGAAAACCTTTGCATAGGAAGCTCAGTGGCCCTTACAGACAAAACAAAAAAGCTTATTCACATCCAGTTTTGTGGTAACCTGATGATATTATCTGCGTCTGCATAACAAGAATGAAAATATACACCATGTCATTGAAGAGAGCTTGAGTGCTTTCTGTCTCCAATTTTTTTGATGGAAACTATAAAAAGTCCTTTACCCATCACTAATTTTTCTTCAGCAGCTGTTGCAGAAAGTGCTGGCACTGAGCATTTAATTTTTGATATACAGTTAACTGCCATGTAATAGGAGATGTGTGTCAGCAGGGTCCAGACACACATCACTAGTCCCATTGTAATCCAGAAATCTTTAAATTGTCACTCTTTAATGGAACAAAAAATGGCTATTCTAAATTCATAAAGATTTATAAACATTCACTGCTGCCAGCTGACAGATATATGCATCACTTGCAGTCTTCTCATTCCTCAGTTCTCTCCTATGAGCCATGGGAAAATGATGCTCTTGCACTCTTACTGCAGGGGTGAGAAATCCGGAGAAGGTCAAGATGGTGAGTCTGGGGGAACTGAGTGACTGAAAATGAACCACAGGGGAAGAAAAGCCACTTAATTTGAAAAAATGCTAGACAAAAAGATTGCTTGAGTGCTTTCACTGCAGATGTCTTACTTCCCTGGTGTTTGACAGGAGAGTCACTGAGTATCTTTATTCTAGGGCAGAGGGACTGTTGAATGGCATTAGAACAGTGCATGGTATTCTGATTTTGAGTGGTCAGCACAAGTTAAAAGAAGGATCAGAAAATTGTTTTTGTTCCTCATGCAAGAAGCTCACATTTCTTTACATAAACTATACTCTCCACCCACCCACAAAAAATATAGTAATCCTCTTAAAACTCTTTCTTGGGATATTGCTTGCAAAGGGGAATGTCACTGCTGATGCTGGGAAGTGTTTCCACTGAATTTCATTACTATCATTAATCAAGCTCAGCAAAATCCACATGCGAAATGGACTTTATTAGAAGTCATCCTGATAGCCTTGTATTGATTTCACTTATCTGCGTTTGGCTAAAATGGCATTTGAGTTTGATTTAAAAAATTGAGATTCTATCATTTCCTGTGGGGAATTTGCTCCAGTCTAATCATCTTCAATTTTAGTCACTTTATATATATATATATATGTATATATACACACACACACACACATACATATATATATATACATATAAAGAAAAGTGACTAATTTCTGATAGGAAATGGTGTGGATTTATCTTCCAGACACTGATTTTTGATTTGCTTTTCTCCTTAAGATTAAAGAGTCCTATCACATCTAATATTCCCCCTGCATGAAATATTTCTTTCACTGTAATGAAATCTCTTTTTTTTGATAAGTTTAAAATATTTATTTCTATTCAAATTTCTTAAAGTGATATTCTTTTTTTTTTTTCTATTCATGAGGCATGGTTCTCTTCTTTATCCTCTCCAGTTTTATT